CCACGCCCGGCTGATTTTTTGATTTATTATAGAGATGAGGTCTTGCTGCCCAGGCGGGTCACGAACCCACGGGCTCAGGCAATCCACTCACCTCAGCCTCCCAAGGCACGGGATTATAGGCTGAGCCGCCGAGCCCAGCTAGGGCTCACACTTTTAAGTAAAACTTCTGATATACATTACAGTAAAATAATATATGCAAAGCCTCAGGAGGTCTGAAAATTTTTAAATGGTATTATCTCATGATAACAGCCTGCAATAACATATGCTAAAACACACTGTTGTATGTGTTTAAATGTGCATGTGTATGCGTGGGTGCATGTACACGCATATGCCTATTTGTGGGTATGTATTGCTAGGTTGCTTAACTGTTACTATTGGTTTTGTTTGGTATTTCTGTGACCAAAAAGTTGAGAAGTAACACACTTTTTTTTTTCTGAGTTGGAGTCTCACTCTGTTGCCCAGGTTGGAATGCAGTGGCACGCTGCTCACAAACACTGTAGCCTCGACCTGCTGGGTTTAGGCGACCCTTCCACCTCAGCCTTCCAAGTAACTGGAACTACAGGCACACACCACCATATCTGGCTAATTTCTTGATTCATTGTAGAGACGAGGTCTCACCAAGTTGCCCTGGCTGGTCTTGAACCCCTGGACTCAGGCAATCTTCTCACCTCGGCCTCCCAAAGTGCTGGGATTACAGGCTTGAGCCACTGCGATCAGCCAGAGAAGTTACACACTTTTTAAGATATAGTTGAAATCTCATTGATGAGTTAGTGTTTAGAGTAGGTAAAATGTGTATAAGGATATCAGGAAACTCCTGGGACCTATTATGATTCCTTTAGGAGATACTCAATGAGAAAAATTATTTTTTTAAGAAATGATAATGTAAGAACATAGTATCTAAAAATTTTTCCACATCAAAACAATGGATTATACACAAAACTGGGAGTGAAGATTTCACATGTTTTTTCTCTGCCTCTCTCTGTGAAATTCAATTGCCTCTTCTCTGTGACTCAGTTTATCAACTTGTGAAATGCTTCCAGATATTCATCTCATGCAGACACTTAAGGAATAATTGACATAAAAAAAATATCGGTGCTTGGTGAAAAATCTAAGACCCTTTTTGTTTTTCACAACCAAGCTATCATTTCTTTACTCAACGGTTTCATGATCACAGGCAATCCACCACCCCCCTCGACCGGACAGTACTTACAGACTGTCTTGTGTGGTGTAGTCAAAGGATAAGAATTTGCTTCACACCAGCCCACTGGGAAGATGTCCATGGATTCAACGTCGACAATGACCTCTGGAACAGGAGTCTGCAGACCTGCAATGGAAGAAGTCAAGCCAAGAGGTATAAACAGACTTTTCCAGGAAAAAAAAAACAGAGCATCCCAAAGACGGAGAAAAACATTCCTTGCTTCTTGTCCCTTTAATTAAGTTCAAGTGAGAAAAGCGTTCCACTGAATGTTAAAAACAAGAACAAAATGGATGATAGCAGTATAAAAGATATGACTTGAAGAGCGTCTTAGGATGGATAGGAATGCTTGAAATATAAAGCAGCAAGAACACGAGGAGTCCACACAAGGAAAGAGTGGCTTTGGAAAAAGAAAAATACTCCCCACTAAAATTAAAAGAGGAAGAAGGAACATAGAAAGTCTGGCATCTGAGCCAGACATGTTTTAAGAAGGAACATGTATCCCCTTTCCTTAAGAATAGCTTTGTGATTAAAGAAATGTGTCAGGGTCTGTGTGGGGGGAAGCACAGAGCCCATCTTTAAGCCTTTATGGTATGTTTTACCCAACACCAAGCAAAGATCAACCTTTAACTGAAGAAACTCAAACGTCACAGCTACACAGAACTAATCAAACTCAACAGCAACGATTATGGTAAGTGCTCATAGGCAAAGCCATTTCTCTGGGGAACTTGTTAACTTCTCCGTTTGACTGGAGTCACTTATTCTGAACTCGGTCTGTGGTCTGCAGGCTTTGGTCATGGCACACAAAAGTCGTTTATGAAATGTCTTTTTAGTGGGATCTGCCTATCACATCCTATTTCATAACGACAGGCATGCCATGTGACAAACCAGCATCACAGCCCAGAAACTCTGAAACAGACAAGAAATGTGGATGCAACACTAGCAAAAGTTTCAAGGAGTTCTGGGTACGGTGAGAATAAATTTGGAACCCAACAAACGAGTTAAAGAAAGAAAATTCTGCACCAGATCAATAGTTCTTGAGTACAAAACACTTTGAGGAAAGTGTTTGAACTGAGAATCAAAAGATAAGGGCTCTATGAATAGACAGTGACCCGCGGACTCTGACCACTTAATCTGGTTTTGCTTTTGTTTCCTCAGTGAGAAGCAGCATGAAATTCACACGGGGCTCCCCAGCACACATCCGTGTCATCTCCCGACATCTAAAGAATTCTGAATCCCATTCTCCTTCTCCACCAGAACCACAGCTTCAGGAAGCTAAATACCAACAACCAAACACAAATGGTCCCTACTCTGATACCAGCTCCACCGACTTCTTGCCTTCAAGACGCTATCATGAAAACAAGGTGTGTTCTTTAATAATCAAGGGCTCCTAATTTAGGGTTAAGCCAATATATTAGTGTACATAAAGTGCCCCAAATGTGGACAGCTGATGCTCATACACACATAATCTTATCACCACCCGTCACTTTTGCTTTGTTCTAAAATAACTCAATTATGATCGTCACTCTTAACTTTCTTTATGCTTAAGTTCCCTATAATTTAAAGTATATATAAGTTCAAAGAATGTAAAGGGATTTATAGGGCTTATTTTTCACCAACAAGGAAGGAGTAGATACTTCTGACTAATGTTATGACTTAACCAATTGTTAATCTGCTTACCAAAGAAATCATCAAATAAACAAGAAAGATTACATTCGAAACAGACAAAAGATAAAGAAACTCCTAGGAGCATCAAATGTGGAAGTGACTTTCCCTGTCCAGAAGAGGATGTGATTCTCCAGAAAAAATAAAGAGGGTCACTGGGCTGTTCCTTGTTACACAAGGTCATCGTCTCTTCTTCAGACTCACAAAAATCACCCTTGTTTCTTAGCTACTCAACAATTTTGCTAGCTGGTTGAATTCATCTACTCAATGCATATGTATTTCCAGATTTATGTAGAGCTACAAATAAGATTTTTAAGGTCATTAAAAGCAGTACTTCAAAAGGAAGCACAAAGTCAACTTTATAGCTTATTCCTTCCTAAATTATGACTTTCATTTTCCAATGTTCTGCTAGTTCAAACATCCCATCACATTAAGGCTTTAATATATACACTTCTGTACAATGTATACATTCATCTATTGCTAAGACTGTCTTTACCATATTTTAACATTCTTTCATCATGTTTTCCATTCAATTAAACAAATATTTATGAGCTTGAATGTGCTCTTTCCCTCAAGAAAGTTTTAGCCCCGCCTTCTTCCACCCCCAATACAGCCTATTAAGGCATCTATTAAATAAAAACTGGTGGGAAAGTGAGTTCCTTATCACCCAGAAAACTTTTCCTGACCCAAAAGCTTTTTAAATCCCATTCTGAATGATGAGAACCAATTCTTCATTTTCCTTTTTCAACGTTATAAATCTGGATTCATTTGACTGGACTCAGAGAATAATCTTCTAAAACAAACCAATTATTCTCCAAGGTTAGAGACCTAAAAGCCCACAAAATAATCCATTTAAAGTGTGCACGATGCTTCTCTTTGATTATTCTAGAATTTGCCAAAAGTACATATGCAAAGCTGAACATCCCACTAAAGACTGCAGCAATGTTCTTTCTCATTTTGTAGAAAAACCCCTTACAAATAACACAAAGCCACGATCAATCTCAGACTCTGTCTAAGCTGCAACCACCCAACATGGATTCTACTTGTTCGTTTTTACCCAGAGCTTTCATCTTAAAAACCATCAGGGGCTGGGCGAGGTGGCTCAAGTCAGTAATTTCAGCACTTTGGGAGGTTGAGGTGGGAAGATCGCTTGGACCTAGAAATTTGAGACCATTCTGGGCAACATGGCGAGACCTTGTGCCTATAAAAAAAAAATCAAAAAATTAGCCAGTGATGGCACACACTTACTGTCCCAGCTACTCAGGAGGCTGAGGGCGAAAGGATCGCCTGAGCCCAGGAAGTTGAGGTTGCAGTGAGCCATGAGCATATCACTACACTCCAGCCTGGGTGGCAGAGTGAGACCTCAATTAAAAAAAAAATTCCATCAGGAAGCCTAAATCTCTATGAGAAAGCACTTAAGTAAATTTGGCTGCATCCATATAGAATATTCTGCAGCCATAAAAAGAATGAGACACCTCTTTATATACTTATAAATGTAAGGCTCTCCAAGATGCATTGTTGAGTAAAAAAGGCAGGGCACAGAACACTGTGCATATATAGTATGCAACCATCTGTTTAAAAAGAGGGAAATAACATATATTCACATGTGCATAAAATAAATCTGGAAGGAAATGCCAAATCCCAACAGAGTGGATGTCCCCGGGAAAGGACTGAGGTGCTGGGGGCTGGGGCCCAGGAGCAGGAGGGGGGATCTGACCAAAGACACCTTTATGGTTTCTTGGCCTTTGTGAACGAGTTACCAATTTTTTTATTTTTTTTGAGTTGGAGTCTCACTCTGTCGCCCAGACTGGAGTGCAGTGGCCGCTCCCAGCCACCGCAGCCTCGACCTGCTGCGCTCTGGCGATCCTTCCGCCTCAGCCTTCCGAGTAGCTGGAACTACAGGTGCGTGCTACCACGCATGGCTAATTTTTGATTTATTGTGAGGTCTCGCCAAGTTCCCAGGCGGGTCTTGAACCCACGGGCTCAGGCAATCCACTCACCTCAGCCTCCCAAAGCACGGGATTACAGGCTAAGCCACCGAGTCCGGCTATGAGTTACTAATTTTACAACCACAACCTCCATGATCACCACGATAACACCAACACCACAAAAGACATCCAGAGAAGAAGGGAAGCCCTAGAGGTCAGACAAATGGGGACGCCAAGTTACCATCAAATAAAGTAAAACGAAATGACAGTGAATCAATTCACTGCTAAGAGAACAAAGCCTTTCCACACTCACAAACTCCATTTACAAGCACATAAATTTGTGAGAATCTACCTTAAAAGAGCTTTGCAGTTTTGCCCTCTCCTCTGGGCTCTATCCTCGAGTCAGCAGATCATGAAGTTCTGTTTTTTATTTTATTTTATTTTTTTGAGTCGAGGTCTCACTCTGTCACCCAGGCTGGAGTGCAGTGGCATGCTCATGGCCACCGCAGCCTCAACGGCTGGGCTCAGGCGATCCTTCCACCTCAGTCTTCCGAGTAGCTGGGACTACAGGCATGCCCCACCACGCCCAGCGAATGTTTTGATTTAGTGTAGAGATTTGTCAAGTTGCCCAGGCTGATCTCGAACCCGTGGGACTCAGGCAATCCTCTCACCTTGGCCTCCCCTTCTGCAGAATTCCCATCACCAGGCAGCCGTCCCCTCCTGCCACGCGAGGTGTCAGTCCTGACTCTGCAGGCGGATGACCACAGGCCTGGGCTTCCTCTCTGGGAGTTCAGCCCCTACAGTGGGATGATGTCACCTGGAGGCGACATTCATCATATCACCACAGCAGCTACAGAAACCCAAAGTCTGCTTCCCACTGCAAGGCCTTCTGGAGAGGTGATTCCCTTAGTCTCTGGTCAACAGCCTTCCAAAATAATTCCAGCTGGGCGCAGTGCCTCCCACCCATCATCCCAGCAATTTGGGAAGCCAAAGCAGGAGGGTCACTTGAGCACAAGAGTTTCAGGCCAACTTGGGCAGCACAGCAAGACTTCATCTCTACAAAATAAACCCCAACTTGCTTAAGACAGCCAGAGTCAGATCTGTTGCTGGCCACCAAAACTGAGCAGAACACCAAAACGAACTGGCTGGTGGCACTGAAAGCCTCTTCCCACAGACAGCACCCGCTCTCAGGCCACCTTCGACAGTCCAGGAAATACTTTCACTCCCGTATCCCAATCGGCTGAAGCAGCTTCTCCTACAAATGTTTCATACAGGCTATGCTTGTTTTTAAAGATATTAAAAATGACCCAAACTGGCTTACATACAATTATTTTCCCATTTGCATGTTTCCTTGTTTCAATTTTGCATGTATCTGCAAAGTGCTTATTAACCACCTTTTTCACCACTTATAGAAAGGCTTAATGGGTCATTTTCTACACCTGGTCTCAATGTACGAGGTTGGCTCAAACAATTCTCTGAACAACACCACACTATGCCCATTTGACCTGCGGGAAGGGCTTATAAACTCTAGTGTGC